AAAAATTACTGACCGGTTTGTTGTTTTCTTAGTTGTGTTTTTAGCGGGGGACTAACTACCTGGCTTCCGTTTAAGTCTGTAGAAAGCGAGTAAATTGAGAAAAAAAAAGGTTACAAAAATAGACACGATCAACCAAATGTTAACTTTCCCATTGAAATCTTTCTCTAAAAACGGAAATAAAGAAATAAAAAGGTTAGGTGACACAGAAGAGAAAAGGCGGTTAAAGTTTTTCAGTGTGAAACCACAGCTGCATTTCAGCACCACGGACAGCTCGAGCGCCTGAAAGCGTTAAACAGTGCCCCCCTGCAAGAAAAGTGCCAGATTAGCATAAAAACAGAAGAGAATACACTCAGATGACAGAGGATAGATAGATGAAACTGCAGGAGAATAGTTACACGAATTAGTTTGGAACACTTACCATTTTTTGCAGAGCTCTGCCAGCAGGCTGGAAACAGCTGTAAAGGAAAAAAAAACCCGATGAGGAGACGACTAGAAGCGGACTGGTTGTAGCTCCGCAAAGTACCAACTGCAAAGCTTTTCTATAGCTCCGTGGGAAAGAGTGGGGTTTGCGTCAGTGCAGAGCAAGGTGCCCTTCCTGTGACATTTTCTTGATAATAGGAGTTTGATAAATCATTGGCCTTGGATTCGGATTTTTAAAGGGACAACAGGAGAACAAGACGACGGGGGCGCGTGTGTGCGTGCGTGAATTGTCTGGTTACGCACGTTGAATGCGTGAGCGCCGGACAGAGCCTTCCAAAACCTGATTAATACACTTGTCTCTAAGGAAGTGTGGGATGTTTACACGCATGCAGGGGAGCGTCCCACTTGATCTCACGTGGCTTGTCTGGATAAAGATTTCCAGGTTTGGGTAATTATTGGGGAGAATTTGAATAGACTGGAGTGCACCGAGGCCTAAGTAATGTTTGCATTGTGCTGAGCCAGGATACGCCAGTAGTTCCAATTAGCGTAGCAACATCAAATACTTTATTTTACAGAAAAGAAACTAAGACTGTGCCTTAAGCTGACAATCAAAGATGAGGGAGTTGTTTATAGTTATTCTCATAAATTCACATTCAACAATTACAATTAGACACACACACACACACACATTTTCAGAAGTTGTATGGGTGGAATACACCATGTGCTAAAAATGGCCTGAACTATAAATAGTTTTTCCACTTGGCGGGTTTTACGCACAAAGCTCTGGGCTCTATACGTTCCTTCGTGCGTCACCAATAGGAAACTGATCAAATACAGAGGAAAAAAAAGTGGGCGAGGTCTTGACAAAGCTACTCATTTGTTAAAGTCTTACGCAAGAAGATTTCTGTTTTTTTTTTTTAAGTTAAAGTCACGTGTTTTAAGGGGAGCCGGAGCCAACCACTGGAGCCTGCACTGGAAGCAGTGACACCCCAAAGAGGCGGAGGGGGGCATACTGTACAGTCTAAAACACTGCATTGCGTATTCTCCGAATCTCGCTGTACACGTGTCCCGTGAGTTGTGTTTTACCCCCAAACTAAAACCCCACTGGTGAACTGATGATTTAAGAATGGAGCGTTAATTATGAGCTTAAATGAAAACAAAGGCCACGGGACGGGTGGTAAACTGTGTCGGAAACAAGCCAAACTGGCTCCTCTTGATCCTTTCCGGCAACGTGGACATAAGTTTGCTCACAAGAGTGAAGTCAAGTCAGGTCAAAAATAATTAGTTCGTCGCTGCCAGTCAAGTACGTTGTTTAACCAGGTAGTGTTCACTAACATGCGATATAAATCTCAAAGAGCCTCTAAAAACAATAAAATAAATAAACGAAAATAATAATTTATGTTTTAAACTAACTTGCTATACTGTGAACTGGTCGTTATGGCGTTTTTCTTCTCTAAGCACTCGGAGCGCTTTTAAACACGTCATCTGAACCGCTGTAATAAACTAGTACATTAAATGTCCGTTTAATGCCCTGATTCTTTTTCTTTTTAAGTCATTAATTTATTTATGTATTTTGGACAGCTGGGGAAGTTTGGGGCAGTTTCTGCTCGCCCGCTGTGATCGGTGTGGTACCAGCAGGACACGCGAGGGTCTCACTCGGGGCCTTTCGCTTGCTATGCACGCCGGGCTGCATGCGCTTGTAAATCTCCGTCCGTTCCAGATAAGAGTCTGGAGCGGCTGTATTAGCCACAGCCTTGAGTTTAATTATATTGTCAACAGAGAATAATTGTAATTGATTTCTGCTCCTCTTCCAGAGACCGCTGTGCGCGCGGACTGACACACATACACACGCGCGCGCACATACACGCCCACTGCCAAAAAGACGCCGGTTTGTTGTATTTTCTTTAGAGACAGCGTGGTGGTTTACACTACTTGCACACGCGCACCAAAGTGAAGAAAGTGCGCATTAGATGCGTCACATCCTGCAACTGTTTAAATTCTACTGTGTCAGCATATGTGTGTGTGTGTGTGTGTGTGTGTGTGTGTGTGTGTGTGTGTGTGTGTGTGTGTGTGCGTGTGTGTGTTTTCATTACTTTGAGCGGACTGCATCCTAACGGAGGATGTGAACTGCCTCTCGCCGAGTGTCTCCTCGTGCTCGTTAATTATGTGAGCTCTTGTATTTAATTGATCACTCCCCCTGTCGCCTGAGCGATAAGAAGCCGCACCAATTCTAACGCCTGGGAAGCCGTGATTCAGCGGAGGGGGGTGAGCTGGGGCGGGGGTGGTCATGCCGAGGCGCACGACTCCCATTATCAGCATCCTCATCAGTCGGCCCTGACAGAGCCTTCACACACTGCAGTTCAAGTTCGTCCAGTGACAAAGACCCCAAGGTGTTTATAAATAAATTGGGTTCGTTTCATTTAAGGAGCTATTTCGTTGTAAGTAAAGAAAATTCTTTGAGCTTCAGGATTGTTTTCTCCTTCTGTTTGACGTTCGTTTTCATTATTATTTCAGACACAGTGATCCAACCCAAAGCAATGAATGTGTCATAAATATGTTGCTTTGTAAATGAGCGTTTAAGTGCAATAGATTTACAAAATTGATTACCTCTCAGAATGAGCGTCATTTTTTTTTACAGAATAATGTGGAGAAAACGAATGGCACAGGCTGTGAGACAATAAACATAATCAATTGTGAACAAAGGCGCGTTATTAGGCTCTTTTAAGGCTTTTAATCACGGCGGTGCCAGCTTTGTGAATTCTTTTTTTCGTCAGTTTTATCAAAGGACACATCAGTGCTTGTTTATTATGAAACAACACCGCAGAAAATGTGGGAATGATGCTGAACGATTTCCGTAAAAGTCTCTAGATGCAGGTCCCTCGCAGTCCAGCCAAAAATGACACTACTGAATGGAGCGTAGTTAAAGAGCTGACTCCACGCAACCAAAATCCCACGAATCCAACTTTGCAAGAAAAAATAAAACATGTACACAAAAAAAGCATTCGCCCTGTTTGATGTCACCTTGTACAGCACACTGTAGGAATAGAATGCCAGAGACGACAGGGAAGCGGTAGAAATGTGACCGTCAAATCATCATTAGGACAGGGAGCCAGGCCCAGAGTCCGCTGCTCCTCCTCACAGATGACTCCTCTTTCTCGGAGGGGGGAGGGGGGTTTAATTGTAAGCAGACCTGCTCGGTGAAGTATGTAAAGAGGCTTCAGTCAGCCTTTTTAAAGCTTAAATTCATTTTTGCATTGTCCCAGTAAACTCACGGAAGATGGATGATGCCCCTGCTGAGGTATCACACAGCTCAAAGTAGGACAATAAGGGGGGATAACTGGCAAGCGCACACAATCTGTAACAAAGAGCAGCCTCCTTTGGATGAGGCAGAGATGCATGTGAGTGATGATTTGAAGAATTAGTGAAATTAGTAAAATTGCGGATTTGAAGAGAAAGACTTAAGGTTGCACCTGACGCTGTCTTTAACTGTTAAACAATCTTCAGACATCAAGGTTGCATGTATAGTGGCTTCAGAAAAATATCCAGCCTCTCTGATTGCTGAACTGACTTTAAATGGTTTAGACAAGAGTTTGGCCAGCTGATATCCTCTACTTAATGATCCCCAATGGAAATCTTTTCTTTATAAAAATATACTCTGCCTTTGGTGCTCCACTTTGTGCTTCTTGATTAACATTGACTGAATTTGATTTGAGACCCTCTGTGACACATAAAAGTCTGGATGTATTTTAAAGGCAGCAAACATTCACACTGCTTGTGCACACTGAGTCATGATGTCTATGGAACACCGTAGAACTACAAGATGACTGTGATGGTTTCCACAAGCACAGTGATTACCCAAGATTACCCCAGGAAAAAAAGATTCTAATTATATTATAAGATAAATCTTAAAAACTCTTTTGGGTAGAACTCAAGCAACTTTGAGTCACTCATTTTTTCTTTACATCTTGATTTCTGGGCTTCAGACTTGTAATTCGTTTTATTGACTTATTGACAAAGAAAACTTAAGGCATGAATCAATGCTGTGTTCGCAAATAACAGACAACTTAGTAAAGAACAAATTTTAAATGGTATGTTCAGGCCAAAGCGGCCAAAACTTCATCAGAAATGGTCTCAGTGGAAGGATGGCCATCAAGAAGCCATCATTAAGAAAGGGAGGGGAAAAGGCTGAAGTATACCAAATTACACCAAAACTGGAATGGAAATCTGTGGCAACAGGTCTGATGCAGTGATGAACTCAAAAAGTGTCTATAGCTATTTGTAAAACATGGTTCCTGGTGGTAATATGATGCTACGGGCTTGATTCTTGGCAGCAGGGACAGTGACACTCATCCTAACCGAGAGAAGAGTAAATTCAGGCATAGACCTAACCCAGATAAACCTGCGCTAAATGTCCACAGAACCTGTGGCTGGTGTGATGGCTCCTGTTTCAGTATGACAGACTTGAAGCTATAACTGTGAGGAAAAAAAAAAAAAAGATGAACATTAAAGGTGGAAAATGAACATTTTTTTACTCTAATGGGAAAATGTCAATTTTATCAAGGTAAAATTAAATAAATAAAACAATTAAGTGCACAAAGAGCAAAGAAGCCTTGATCCTTTGTTAACCATTTGCAGTTACTATTTCAACAGCATGCATTTGGCAGTATGTGTAAAAATAAACACATAGTCACGCTGAATGTGCATCTTTGTGTAGTTACACTGAATGTGCACAAAAAGACACTGACAAGGAGGAAATCTCATATTACAGTATGTTTTATTTCAAAAGCCAAGAACAATACCAACATTTAAAACACTTAAGGTATTAATTCTTTCGAACTACTCGTAGCAAGGACCATGTGATGGTTGTCCTTATTGGAGGCTATAAGTCTGCTTCCTGTCTCGGAGTTCAAAGGTAACCCACAGTGAGCGTGGATCCTTCTTGTTTTTGCGCACAGTGATCTTTCCCTGAAGCTCTTCCCCTAAAGAAAATATCAAAGACAGCGAAATATGAGTACAGTACACCTTTTTATACAGAAGTCACATTACAT